AAAAAAAAAAAAAAAAAAAAAAAGAGTGCAACTTAGGAATCTCCTATACTTTTGCCACCCCTTTAATCAATGTAAATTGAACTAAAAGCTTAGCAGGTAATTGTAATTTTAAAATTTCAAATCGTATAATAACCCAACAATGACATTTTACTCCCCACAGTACCTCTGGAGCAAGGGCCTTACAGTATCCCAGTATTCCTGGAAGAGCAGGAACAAATTTGTAGGTAAAGACAGATAGCTACAAAGTGCACTGTACTCTCCTTCTGCAGAATCTGCAAGAGAATAAAAATACATTTAATAAGCACATTATTCTTACCTCGTCTACCTGTTGTTAAAATTTCTTCACTGTTTCTGCTCATTTCTACACTGTCCTTGTAGAAAGTATATTTCTTATTCTATAAAATCATAGGTGGCAAATAAGTCACAGTGATTTTTTAAAACATAAATTGGACTGAGTTACTCTCCTGATCAGATGGCTCTAATGTGTAACCACACTTAGTATAAAATACAAGGTCCCTATCATGGCACAAAGGTCCTGAGTGAGCTCCCCCAGGTTACCTCTTAGACCTGTTACTCTCCCCTTAGGCTTCAGCCATACCCATCTCTTTGCAAATCTTTGACTATGTCAAACAAAGCTTTGGGATTTATAACTTCTTCTACTTGGGAATATTCTTCCTTCAGCTGTCTGTCCAACTCAACCCTATGCAGCTGTTTGTTCAATGTTGCCTCACAGAGAAGCATTCCATGAAAACTATCTTGGAGAGTTCCTCATTCTGACCCCAATACCCTCTATCCCTAAACTGCTTTATTCTGCCTTATAATATTTATCAGCATTTTATATTACATTATAGATATATAGTTCTCCATTTGTTTATAATTGGATTCCTCCCACTAAAAAGGACTTTATTTCACTCATAGCTGTACTATAGCACCTATGAGATAAATACATGACTTTTTTGTATGTGAGCAAACAACAGATCTGTACTGGCAATTACTTGAAATTTTATACAAGTCCATGAAAAACCTAGATCAGATAAGCCCTACTGAACTGAGCTCACGATAAACAAGCTGATAGCCAGTAACAGTAACCTAGTCAGCTTATTCTCAAAGGACAAAAGAAGAATCTGTGAGCAATTTTGGTGACTCTTCCAAAATCATAAACATTCTGAGTTTTACCCATACAAAGCCACAGGAAAGCTTCCCTACTTTGGTCTAAATACAGAGGGAAGTAAATGAGAAGGTAACCCTATTGCTTAAATATACATGGCCTCAGTTGGTTCCAGTGGGCTTTTACTAGCAGCACTTTCATTCTTCAATGTAGTTATATGTCCAATTTTTAAAATTTTTTATTTATTTATTTTTTTTATTTTTAGACAGAGTCTTGCTCTGTCACCCACGCTGGAGGCAGTGGCATGATCTTGGCTCAGTGCAACCTCCACCTCCTGGGTTCAAGTGATTTTCCTATGTCAGCCTACCACATAGATGGGACTGCAGGTATGCGCCACTGTGCTCAGCTAATTTTTTTGTATTTTTAGTAGAGATGGGGTTTCAACATGTTGGCCTGGCTGGTCTTGAACTCCTGACCTCAAGTGATCCACCTGCCTCGGCCTCCCAAAATGTTGGGATTATAGATGTGAGCCGCCACACCTGGCCTATATGTCCAAAATTTAAATAACATACTATATAGTAAAGTCTTCCACCTATGTAGCCAAACAATTCTCTTCTCTAAAGATAACCAATATTTCTAATTTCTTGTATAGCCTATCAGTTATATTCTGCATGCAGATATTTTATAAGCTCAAACCTATAACCTATGCATAGCTAGGACCTAAGAGTAGGTCTTGCAGATTAAAAGGCTAATATATTTTTTGGCCTCACCTTTAACCTATACCAGGGCAGGGCGCACATGTTTGAAGTGAACACAGATGAAAGAAATGGGGAGTGAAGAAGTGGTTTTGTCAGCTTTAACCTTGAATTTATGAGCTTGAAGGTAAGAACAAAGAAAATGTCTCATTTTCCACTCAGTGCTTTCATTTTTCTACTTACTGGTATGAAGTTCTTCAGGTGGAGTTACCCCAAGTAAATAGTGGAAAAACAATGCAGCACAGCGAAGATAAGGGGTGATGCCATTCTTCAGTGAGACCCACAAATACCAGCCAGGAATACTACACCCAATGCAGCTAAAAGACAATAATTCCAGAAGAGAACAGAATACTTATCAGACTAAAACCCTAGATGTAAACATATCCCCCTTTTCAAATACAAAGTTAAATATTTAGGTAATTTATTATCCATGCAATTTTTAAACATTTAAAAACAAAATAAAGTCCCAGCACTCCTGGAGGCCAAGGCAGGCGGATCACCTGAGGTTAGGAGGTCAAGACCAGCCTGGCCAACATGGTGAAACTCCAGTCTCTACTGAAAGTACAAAAATTAGTCAGGCATGGTGGTGGGTACCTGTAATCCCAGCTACTTAGGAGGCTGAGGTGGAAGAACTGCTTGAACCCAGGAGGTGGAGGCTGCAGAGCGGAAATCATGCCACTGTACTCCAGCCTGGGTAACACAGCAAAACTCTGTCTTAAAAAGAAACAAAACAACAGCAACAAAAAAAACCCCAAAATATTTGAGTAGCTAATAGTTTCAGTGTTTAAATCTCCTAATAATTTCCTAAAGAAAAGTCACAAATCTTCTATCTTTTACCATGTAGATTTTTAAGGCAAGAAATTGCTCTCCTTTTTCCTAGGTGAAGACAAAAAACAAAAACAAAGAGGCAACCAAAAAACCTACTTTAAAGAAACTTGACTCTTAAATAAAGTATACTCTTTATTTTAAAATTATTATTATTATTATTTTTTGAGATGGAGTCTTGCTCTGTCACCCTGGCTGGAGTGCAGTGGCAGGATTGTGGCTCACTACAACCTCTGCCTCCCAGGTTCAAGTGATTCTCCTGCTTCAGCCTCCTGAGTATCTGGGACTACAAGCACACACCAGTGCACCTGATTAATTTTTGTATTAATTTTTGTATTTTTAGTGGAGACAGGTCTCACAATGTTGGCCAGGATGGTCTCAAACTCCTGACCTTAGGTGATCCGCCCATCTCAGTCTCTCAAAGTGTTGGGATTACAGGTGTGAGCCACTGCGCCGGGCTACTCTCTATTTTTAAGACAGGGTCTTGCTCTCTTGCCCAGGCTGGAGTGCAGTGTTGCAATTATGGCTCACTGCAGCCTTGACCTCCCGAGCTCAAATAGTCCTCCTGCCTCAGCCGCCCGAGTAGCTGAAATTACAAGTGTGCACCACCATTCTCAGCTAGTTTTTTTTTGTTTTTTTTTTTTCCCCAAAGTTGAGAAAAGGTCTCACTATCTTGCTCAGGCTGATCTCGAACTCCTGAACTCAAGCAATCTGCTTACCTCAGTCTCCCAAAGTGCTGGGATTACAGGTGTGAGCCACTGTGACTGACCTAAAATAAAGTATACCCTTCAACATAAAACTTAAAGGTTACTAAAGCTTTCATTTTTTTTGTTGTTGCTTAGATTAAAACCTTGTAAATAAACAGAGGAAGAAAAAAATTTACCAATAACTAACCAAAGCAACTTGTTAGCTAAAAAAAATTAATAATTTCCTGGTTTCTATATTAGGATTGACTAATGATCTGTATGGCAGTTAAACTATTCTGTATGATACTGTAAAGTGAATCTTATGTAAACTATGAACCTGAGTTAATAATAATGTATTAATATTGATTAATCAATTGTAACGAATGGTACCTCCTTAATGCAAGGTATTAATAATTGGGGAACAGTTAGAGGGAGGGAGCAAATGAAGACTATACTTTCTGCTCAACATTTCTGTAAACCTAAAAGGCCTCTAAAAAAATCTATTAACTTAAAAAAAAATACTGGTAACGAGACTGGTGAGGGGAAATTGGCAGCAGACAAAGTTCAGCAGAGCACTCCTATTGTACTCCTACTATAACCTCTACACAAAGGTTAAATATATACAAAAAATTAAAACATATTATTATGTATATATGTATAAATTATATATGTATTACATATGTTATACAGTATATGCACATATTATGTATATATTATATGCATATTAAAATATGACTGCCAATGTATTTTCCGTATTACTCATAAGAGCCTTAACCTGTAATTATATGCATGCACTGAGTGCATCAATTGTGTGGATCACTGTAAAAAGACAACCTATTTTTCATTTTCTACATTTATTTTAATCCTAAATACTCCATTTGTTAAACTCCAATCATCTTTTATCTATGACTCCAGAACAGTTTACAAGTAAAGATGTGTCAAACTTGTTTCAGTCTCAGAAACAAGCAAGTGGGTAGCTGTTATTCTAACCTACTACCTTTTACTTCAAAGTAAAATAATCAAAACACGTTTTCTTCACTGTAAGCCTATCCTGTGCAAACAAAGCCATGCTAAAAGCCCTTAACTGATTTTTTTTTTTTTTTTTTAAAGAGAGAGACAAGGTCTTGTTATGTTGCCCAGGCTGGTCTCAAACTCCTGGGTTCAAGTGATCCTTCTGCCTTGGTCTCTCAAAGTGCTGGGATTACAGGCATGAACCACTGCACCTAGCTTCATAACTGATTATTATTTTTTATTACACTTTAAGTTCTGGGATCACACACCCAACAGGCCCTGGTGTGTGATACTCCCTTCCCTGTGCCCCTATGTTCTCATTGTTCAACTCCAACTTATGATTGGGAACATGCGGTGTTTGATTTTCTGTTCCTGTGTTAGTGTGCTGAAAATGATGGTTTCTAGCTTCATCCATGTCACTGTAAAGGACATGAACTCATCCTTTTTATGGCTGCATAGTATTCCACGGTGTGTATCTGCCACATTTTCTTTATCCAGTCTTACACTGATGGGCATTTAGATTGGTTTCAAGTCTTTGCTATTGTGAATGGTGCTGCAATAAACATACGTGTGCATAAGTCTTTATAGAAGAATGATTTATAATCCTTTAGGTATATACCCAGTAATAGGATGGCTGGGTCAAATGGTATTTCTAGTTCTAGATACTTGCAGAATCGCCACACTGTCTTACACAATGGTTGAACTAATTTATACTTCCACCAACCGTGTAAAAGCATTCCTGTTTCTCCACATCCTCTCCAGCACCTGTTGTTTCCTGATTTTTGAATGATCGCCATTCTAACTGGCGAGAGATGGTATCTCATTGTGGTTTTGATTTGCATTTATCTAATGACCAGTGATGATGAGCTTTTTTCCATATGTTTGTTGGCCACATAAATGTCTTCTTTTGAGAAAAGCGTCTGTTTATATCCTTCGCCCACTTTTTGATGGGGTTTTTTCTTTTCTTGTAAATTTGTTTAAGTTACTTGTAGGTTCTGGATATTAGCTCCTTGTCAGATAGATAGATTGCAAAAGTTTTCTCCCATTCTGTAAGTTGCATGTTCAATTTGATGATAGTTTCTTTTACTGTGCAGAAGCTCTTTAGTTTAATTAGATCCCATTTGTCAATTCTGGCTTTTGTTGCAATTGCTTTTGGTGTTTTAGTCATGAAGTCTTTGCCCATGCCTATGTCCTGAAAGTCCCCAAAACTCCTTAAGCTGATAAGCAGCTTTAGCAAAGTCTCAGGATACAAAATCAATGTGCAAAAATCACAATCATTTCTATACATCAATAATAGATAAACAGAGCAGCAAATCATGAGAAAATTCCCATTCACGACTGCTACAAAGAAAATAAAATACCTAGGAATACAACTTATAAGGGATGTGAAGGATCTCTTCAAGGAGAACTACAAACCACTGCTCAAGGAAATAAGACAGGACACAGACAAATGGTAAAACACTCCATGTGCATGGACAGAAAGAATCAATATCATGAAAATGGCCATACTGCCCAAAGTAATTTACAGATTCAATGCTGTATCTATCAAGCTACCATTGACTTTCCTCACAGAATTACAAAAAACTACTTTAAAGTTCATATGGTATCAAAAAAGAGCCCATATAGCCAAGACAATGCTAAGCAAAGACAGGACAAAGCTGGAGGCATCATGCTACCTGACTTCATACAATAGTACAAGGCTACAGTAACCAAAACAGCATGGTACTGGTACCAAAAAACATACATAGACCAATGGAACAGAACAGAGACCTCACAAATAACACTACACATCTACAACCATCTGATCTTTGACAAGCCTGACAAAGACAAGCAATGGGGAAAGGATTCCCTATTTAATAAGTGGTGTTGGGAAAAATGGCTAGCCATATGCTGAAAACTGAAACTGGACTGTTTCCTTACACCTTATACAAAAATTAACTCGAGATAGATAAAAGATTTAAACCATAAAAACCCTCGAAGAAAACCTAGGCAATAACTGATTATTTTTAACTGGAATTTAAATGATTCAAATGTTACTTACACGGCCCAACAACTGAACAAGAAATGGAATGATTAAAAGAATGAACTAATAGATTATTACTCACCCACTTGTATATTGAGAAATTTCTGCAAAGAAAGAAGATGCAGAACGAGCCTCTTCACTGTCTTCTTGAACCTGAGCAAGGGGTAGGCCTGAAAAAGAAATTTTGCGAGATGAATTATGTATTTGCTATTCAGTTTATAAATTATACTTCAATTTCATGGTTCCAAGATAATAAACAATAGATTCATTCAACTGAGGTTGTTTCCTTTTGAGACAGAATTTCACTGTTTTTGCCCAAGCTGGAGTATAATGGCATGATTTTGGTTCACCGCAGTTTCCGCCTCCCCGATTCAAGTGATTCTCCTGCCTCAGCCTCCCAACTAGCTGAGATTACAGTCATGTGCCACTGGCCTAGCTAATTCTTTATTTTTAGTAGAGACAGGGTTTCACCATGTTTGTCAGGCTGGTCTTGAACTCCTGACCTCAAGTGACCCACTTCCAAAGTGCTGGGATTACAAGGCGTGAACCACCATGCCCGGGGCTCCATCTGTTTTTAATCTAAGTAGTTGATGCTGAATATTAAAGTTGTGAGGTAAACTTTATATATTAGCTGGAGAAACAAATAGGGCAGAATAACTAAACATGGATGTTTAATATTTACTTGCTAAACATGTAAATACTTCATCATAATATGACCGTGGAAATAAATCAATAGTTAGCAACCTGCTTTGGGTTCCTAGGAATCTTAGCCAGTAGGCAGAAATTAAACCTTTAGAAAAGGAAGTAGGTGTCTGTCCTGCCTTCATGCTCAAGCAAAGGGTCTCATAAAAAGAACTTGTTGAGGTTATTTTCCTCCATCAACCTATCCTTAAGGTAGACCATCCTAAACCTTTCTGGCAACTGCCAGTTACTCTTACACTTACATTAAAGCTCTGGATAAGCCACTCTGAATTTCAGAATTATTGTATTAAAACTGATATAGAAATGTCTACCTTGCAGTTTGCTCTGAGGGATGGTTATAGCACATTTGAGTAGTGCTCTGTTGTTTTAAAGATGCTTTTGTTTATGTATTAATTCATCTGGAAGGTCACGATTCAAGTTGTCCTCAGTAATTTTATCATATCTTGAATGATTACTCCTAGTCCTTTTCATTTTCCAAACAACATCTCTTTATTGCTATACTTTAAAAAAATATATCATGAATCATATGATTGAAAAAATCATACTGATTTTCTCAATTCAAATGTAAGAGAGTTCAATAATTCTAAGTTATTCTTTACAAATTTGAGGTAAATTTTACCTGCAATAAAATGCACAAATATTAAGGGTTCTAGTTGATGATGAGTTTAACAAATGCACACACCCATAAAACAAGATTTTTATTTTTTAATTAATACACTTTTTTTTAGAGAGAAGTTTTAGATTCACAGCAAAATTGAACAGAAAGTACAAAGGATCCCCTCTGTCTCTATGCACACACAACATCCCCCACCTATCAACATTCAGCACCAGTGTAGTACACTTGTTATTATCAATGAACCTACATTGCCAAATCATTATCACTCAAAGTCCACAGTTTACATTAGGGTTCATTCCTGGTGTTTACATTCTATGAATTTGGACAAATGTGTAGTAACGACATGTATGCACCATTGTAGTATTTTTCGGAACAGTTTCACTGCCTTAAAAATCCTCTATGCTGGCTGGGCTTTAGGAGGCCAAGGCGGGCAGATCATGAGGTCAAGAGATCGAGACCATCCTGGCCAACATGGTGAAACCCCGTCTCTTGTAAAAAATACAAAAATTAGCTGGGTGTGGTGGTGTGTACCTGTAGTCCCAGCTAATCAGGAGGCTGAGGCAGGGGAATTGCTTGAACCAGGGAGGCAGAGGTTGCAGTGAGTTGAGATCGTGCCACTGCACTCCAGGCTGGCGCCTAGCAACAGACCCAGTAGCTTTCTCAAAAAAAAAAAAAAAAAAAAAAAAAAAATCCTCTATGCAGTGCCTATTCAGCCCTCTCCCAATGCCCTTATCCCTGGCAATCACTAATCTTTTTACTGACTCTATAGTTTTGCCTTCTCTAGAGTGTCATATAGTTGGAATCATATAATATATAACCTTTTCAAATTGACTTCTTTTAGCTAGCAGAAGTCTATCTTTTCATCATTTGGTAACTCATTTATTCATTTATTTATTTTTTTAAGATGGAGTCTCACTCTGTTGCCCAGGCCAGAGCGCACTGGTGCCATCTTGGCTCACTGCAACCTCCATCTCCCGGGTTCAAGCAATCCTCTGCCTCAGCCTCCTGAGTATATGGAATTACAGGCACCGGCCACCATGCCCCACTAATTTTTTTTTGGCATTTTTAGTAGAGACAGGGCTTCACCATCTTGGCCAAGGTGGTCTTGAACGCCTGACCTTGTGATCCACCTGCTTTGGGCCCTCAAAGTGCTGGGATTACAGGCGTGAACCACCATGCCTGGCCACTTTTTTTTAAATTTTTGAGACGGAGTCTTGCTCTGTCACCCAGGCTGGAGTGTAGTGGTACAGTCTTGGCTCACTGTAACCTCTGCTTCCTGGGTTACAGCAATTCTCCTGCCTCAGCCTCCTGAATAGCTGGAATTACAGATGTGCGCCACCATGCCTGGCTAATTTTTGTACTTATTTAGTGGAGACAGGATTTCACTATGTTGGCCAGGCTAGTCTCAAACTCCTGACCTCAGGTAATCTTCCTGTCTTGGCCTCCCAAAGTGATAAGATTACAGGCGTTAGCCACTGTGGCCGGCCGACAACTCATTTCTTTTTAGCACTGAATAATATTTCCACTGTCTGGATAAATCATAATTTATTTATTCACTCACTTATTGAAGGATACCTTGGTTGCTTCCAAGATTTTGTAATTATGAATAAAGCTGCTATAAACAACCTTGTGCACAATTTTGTGTGAAACTTTCATTTTGGTAAATAAAAGTTTTCAATTCATTTGGGTAAATAAAAGAAGTGTGAGTGATGGATCATATGGTAAGAGTATATTTAGTTTTGTGAGAAACTGTCACAAACTGTCTTCCAAAGTGATGGTACCATTATGCATCCCCATCAACAACAAATGAGAGTTTCTGTTACTCCACATACATGCTAGCATTTGGTGTTGTCAGTGTTTTAGATTTTGGCAATTCTAACATGTATACAGTGGTATCTCATTGTTTTAATTTGCAATTCCCTAATGGCATATAGATGCTGAACATCTTTCCATATGATCAGTTATCATCTGTATATCTTCTGTGGTGAGGTGTCTTTTCAAGTGTTTTGCCCATTTTTATCTTTTAGAGACAGGATCTTGCTATACTGCAAGTCTCAAACTCCTGGGCTCAATCTTCCTGCCTTGGCCTCCCAAAATGCTGAGATTATAGGCGTGTGCTATCATACCTGAGTCTCGCTCTGTTGCCAGGCTAGAATGCAGTGGCACGATATCAGCTCACCACAACCTATGCCTCCTGGGTTCAAGTGATTCTTATCTCTCAGCTTCTCAAGTAGCTGGGACTACAGATGCGTACCACCACACCAAGATAATTTTTGAATTTTTAGTACAGACAGGTTTTCATCATGTTGGCCAGGCTGGTCTTAAACTCCTGGCTGAAGTGATCTGCCCATCTTGGCCTCCCAAAGTGCTGGTATTACAGGCCTGAACTACAACACCCAGTCCCACTGCCCATTTTAAAACTGGATTGTTTTCTTATTGTTGATTGTTAAGAGTTCTTTGCATACTTTGGATAACAGTTCTTTATCAGAAGTGTTTGTTGCAGTACTTTCTCCCAGGCTATGGCTTGTCTCTCATTCTCATGATATTGTCTTTAAATGAGATGACTTTTTAGATATAAAACCAAAGGCATAATCTGTGAGATAAATAATTGATAAGCTAGACTTCATTATAATAAAATTAAAAACGTATTCACTTAATGACATTAACATAATTACAGTATTACCCAACATAATTTCAAAATAGCAATACTAGTTACCACTGTTATCACTTACATAAGTTCAACTTAAGATTTTTTGAGAGGAGGCAGTTCTTTTGTTGTCAGAACATAACCCACTAGGGAAGTACAGTTGAAATACTATGTTTTAAACTCACCTGAAGTAACCAGTTTCTTGATATGTTGTATACAGTAGTTAGTTTCACTTGTTGTTTTCAATTTAAAAAAATTATCTTCTCCCATTTTATTTTTTAACTAAGTAAAAGATTTATAACCAGGTCAGATGCCTCATGCCTGTAATCCCAGCCCTTTGGGAGGCCAAGGTGGGTGAATCACAATGTCAGGAGTTCAAGATCAGCCTGGCCAATGTGGTGAAACTCCGTCTCTACTAAAAATACAAAAAATTGCAATAGAGCAAGGCTCCATCTCAAAAAACAAAACACCAAAAAATTAGCCAGATGTGGTGGTGGGCGCCTGTAATCCCAGCTATTCAGGAGGCTGAGGCAGAGAATTGCTTGAACCTGGGAGGTGGAAGTTGCAGGGAGCCGAGATTGTGCCTCTGCACTCCAGCCTGGGCAACAGAGCACGGCTCTGTCTAAAAAAAAGAAAGAAAGATTTATAGAGTTCTAAACTCAAAACAGTATTTAAAAAGGACATTAACTGAAGGCTGGGCACCTTGGCTCATGCCTGTAATACTAGCACTTGAGAGGCTGAGACAGGTGGATCACCTGACATCAGGCATTTGAGACCATCCCAGCCAGCACAGGGAAAACACCTCTATTAAAAATATAAAAATTAGCTGGGTGTGGTGGTGTGTCCCTGTAGTCCCAAGTGTTAGGGAGACTGAGGCAGGAGAATCACTAGAACCCGGGATGCAGAGGTTGTGGTAAGCCAAGATCGTGCCACTGTACTCCAGCCTGGGCAACAGAAAGAGATTCCCATACCCCCCCTCCCAAAAAAAAAGGCGAGGCATGGTGGTTCATGCCTGTAATCCTGGAACTTTGGGAGGCAGAGGTGGGCAGATCACAAGGTCAGGAGTTCGTGACCACCTGGCCAGCATGGTAAAACCCTGTCTCTACTAAAAAAATAAAAATAAATTAGCCAGGCATGGTGGCACTTGCCTATAGTCCCAGCTACTTGGGAGGCTGAGGCAGAATTGCTTGTACCCAGGAGGCGGAGGTTGCAGTGAGCTGGGATTGTGCCACTGCACTCCAGCCTGGGTGAGAGCGAGACTCTGTCTCAAAACAAACAAAAAAAGAAAGGCATTCATTGGAATTTTGGCTCAAATCCCTATGTCTTTACCTTACCCTAGAGGCAACTATTTTTAGTTTTTAGTTCTATTGTCTCTCTGTGTGTGGTTTTTTTTTTTTTTTTTTTTTTT